CCATGATGGCATGCTTTCCGAATACTCCTTCCCCTAATCCGCCATCCCTTCTATCTCTCCCCACCTTCTTTTATCCCCTACTCTTCAATTTTCCTGTAGGGCAGGATAGATTTCTATACCCCATTTCCTGTATTTCTTATTTCCCAGTTGCATGCACATCATTTCTTATAGCACAATAATATTCCATTACATTCATATGCCACAACTTGTTCAGGAATTCCCCAGTTCATGTGCATCCCCTTGATTTCCAATTCTTGGCCACCAGAAAAAGAGCTACTATAAAAATATTTTTGTACATGTGGGTCTTTTTCCAATTTTTGTGATCTCTTTGGGATACAACCCCAGAAGTGGTATTGCTGGGTCAAAGTCTATGCCCAGTTTTATAGCCTTTTGGGCAGAGTTCCAAATTGCTCTCCAGAATGGTTGGATCAGTTCACAACTCCACCAACAATGCATTAGTGTTCCAATTTTCCCACATCTCCAGCATTTATAATTTTCCTGTTTTGTCATGTTAGCCAATGAAATATTTTAAAAAATGGATTCTTGAGTATCTTTGCAATGGTAGCCCTTCCAGCATGGATCTCCCCAGTATGTGATTTGGTCAGGGATAATCTCTCTTTCTGATGTCATCTTCTTATGTGTCGTTTCTGTTTCTCCAGATACCATTAATTACCTACTGCCACTGTCCTATGCATGGGATGATGACAGTAGATTTCTGTAGAAACACTAGCTGACTCTGTACGTATTGTCCATTGTACATATAGTTGTTATTCTTCCTCCAGTTTAATATTGGTGATAATTTGGTTTGACTGGGTCATGTGTCACTTTTCCCCCTTAGGATCCTTTCCCTATCCATTGCCATTTGTTGTTTGTTTGTTTTTGAAGTGTTAGTGTTTTTAATCTTCTGTCACCTGCTTCTGTAATGTTTTGCAAATGAGCTTGTACTCTAAATTTGTATCTCGGTTGGCTGCCCTGTCTCTGCTTGTTAAGTGTTTGCTGACTAAGGAATTCTCCTAGGCTCCTTTGACCTTCTTTTGGCAACTATTTTTATATTAGTTAAATTTATCTAACAAGTAGTTATAATAAAAATCAATGTCTTTTCTGTTTCCCATTTTTAGAGCTAAATTCCTTCTTAATCATTGGCTAATTAGATATCTTCTTTCCATTGGTTCAATTCAGTTCAATTCCACTGGCATTTATTAATTACCTGTGTTAGGCCCTGAAGCACAGTGTTAGGCCCTGAAGATGTAAAAACATTGAAAAAGTCTCTGATCTCAAGGAACTTACATTCTATTAGGGAAAAACAGCATGAACACGTTAAGTAAATGTAAAATATAGACTCCTTCTGGCTCTAAAAGTAATCTAATCTGATTGGAATATGGATTGATTGTATGAGGGAGAATAATGTGAAATTTAATTAGCTTGGAACCAGATTGTGAAGGGCTTTAAATGTCAAACAAAATAATTTATATTTTTGTCTTAGGAGGTAATAGGGCTTCCTGAGCAAGGTGAGTGGGCATGATCAATCAGCCTGTCAATAAACATTTATTAAGTGCCTCCTAAGTGTCAGGCATTGTGCTAAGTGCCGGGGATACAGAAAGGTGCAATAAACAGTCTCTGTTCCTGAAGAACTCATGGTCTAATGGTCAGACCTGGCCTTTATCAGTTTGGCAGCTGTGTGGATGTTGGATTGGGGAGACAAGAGACTGAAGGTAGCATGAACAATTAGGAAGCTATTGTTATGGTCCAGAGGTGATAAGGGACTTCATCAACCAGAATGCTGGTCACGTGAGTTGAAACCGGGATGGATTCAAGAAGTGCTGTGGGATTAGAATGGACAATTGGCCACTGATTGGATACATGAGTTGAGGCGAAAGGAAAAGTGGATGATGACTCTGAGGCCATAACCCTGGTTTACCAGAAATATGTGATGGTGTCCTTGATAGAAATAGTGAAGATTAGAGAAGAGATTGGTTTGGGAAGAAAGATAATGAATTTTATTTTAAAAGTTACTGTTGTTTGTCCTTCCCTCTCAAAGAGAACCGTGACATCAGGGAGGTGGTGTCATGATATGCAAGTGAATTGGATTTAAGCGAGGAAGCGCTGTGCAAAGTCGCCAGCCTTACTTTCTCCTCTGGAGCCATCTGGGTCCAGTGGCAAGATATAGATCAAGACAACCGGAAATGGCCCCCAAGTTTAAACATATTAACATATTAAATAATAGTAAAGGGGGCAACTAGGTGGCACAGTGGATAGAACTCCGGCCTTGGAGTCGGGAGGACCTGAGTTCAAATCCAGCCTCAGACACTTGACACTTACTAGCTGTGTGACCCTGGGCAAGTCACTTAACTCCGATTGCCAAAGCAAAAAATAATAATAATAATAGTAAACATATAAAGTTATTATGGAACATCTTATGTAAAGTGCTTTATAAATCTTGAAGTCTTATATAAATGTTTAGTATTTTATTGTTTTTATTATATGTCCAGCAGAAACATGTGGTGATATACACTGAGCTCAAGAGAAAGTTTTGGTCTGGGTAATTAGATTTGGGAGTCCTCTGTTTCAAGGTGATATAGTTAAACCCATGGGGAACTGATAAGCTTACCAAATGAGACTATAGAGAGATGAGAAAAGGGCCCAGGACAGGGTCTTGGGGACACAGCCACACAGAGTAGTTGGGACATGGATGAGAATCCTATACAAGAGACTGAAAAGGAATGGTCAGACAGGTAGGAGGAAAACCTGGAAGGAGCAATGTCACTCAAACCCAGGAAGGAGAGGGCATCTGCCATGGAGAGGTCAACAAGGACGAAGTCTAAGAAAAGGCCATGGGGTGACCTTAGAAAAGTCAGTTTCATTTGAGTGAGGTCAGAAGCCAGATTGCAAGAAGCTGAAAATGGAGCAGGAGCTCAGCCAGTGGAAGAAATGAGGTAGAGAGCTTTTTTCTAGCAGTTTGGTTTTAGAAGGAAGGAGAGAGAGGATGACAGCTTGAGGAAATGGTAGGATCAAATGAAGTTTTTACTTGTTTTCAAGGGATGTTGGAGATCTGTGCGTGTTTGTAGGCAGCAGGGAAGGAGCCAGTGGAGGAGAGGTTGAAAATTAGCAAGAGAGGGAGTGATCAAAGGGACAAAGTATATAGTAGTGGTTGCCCAAAGGGGAAAAGGGGATAGGAAGAAGGACTCATAAAAGATAATATTACAGTTGTAACAGTCATCTCCTAAGAGGAATAATTCAGCCTAAAACCCAATTCACTTCTAAAGTTGGCAGAAGATAGCCCTCTTCCTCACAGTCTGCTGAACCTCAGTTGTCAAAGCTTTCCCTCCTGTTGCTTCCCCACATTGCCTGTCCCCCTATATCTCCTGGCCTCATCCTCTGCAGCCATGTCTCTTGCTCCTCTCCCGGCCTACTCCAGTGTTCAGTTCCCTTTTGCCTCCTCTCTTAGCCTTTGCTTAGGATGCCCCATTAGCCTAAAACAGGGGTGGGGAACCTGAGGCCTCCAGGTCCCATGTGGTTCTCTAGGTCCTCAAGTGCGGCCCTTTGACTGAATCCAAACTTCCCTTAATAAGAGGATTTGTTCTGTAAAACCTGGACTCAGTCAAAAGACCTCACCCGAGGACCTAGAAGGCCTCATGTGGCCTCCAGGCCTTGGGTTCCCCACCCCTGGGCTGAAGCAACTGTCCTACCTTCATTCTTTTACCAGGCCTACTTCCTTGCTGCCTTTTTTAGGAAGAAGTTTAAGACAGAATTCTAAGAAATCCTCACCCCACATAAATTCATCTAGTGTGTTCTTTAGCCTACCAGCATCCTCATACTTCCTCTTTTTATACTCTGGTCATTATTATAATGATGGAATTGGGTAGTTTTCCTATTATAGACTGGAAGCTTCCTGAGGGCAGGGGCCATAACTAATCCTTACTTAGTGTAGGAAACAACTAGTTTAGGACTGCACACCTTGGGGGCCTGTTGTTGTCTCTTGTTCAGCAAGCACTGAATCTTCCCAAAGCCCAGGCCTGACCATGTCATTCTTACTCAAGAATCTTTAGGGGCCCTCTCATTGTCTCTAGGATGAAATACAAACTCCTTAGCTGGACATTTCGAGCTCTTCACAGTCTGACTCCAGCCTTCTTTCTTCCTTTCTTTAAAATTAATTGATTATTTATTAAAATATTAATTAATTTATTATTTATTATTACTTTATTTTTTATTAAATTTTATTAATTAATTAAATTTATTTATTTTGAATTGTCAACAATCACTTCCATAAGCTTTTGAGTTTTAAATTTCCAGCCATCTTTCTAAACTTATTTAAACAACTACTCCCTGTTCTACACTTTATATTCTGCTAAACGTGCTATTCCCAGAACTCAGCACCCCATCTGTGACCTTCGTGCCTTTCTACAGACTGTCCCCCATGCCTGGAATTCTCCCCTGCTCACTTCCACCTCTTAAAATCCTTAGCTCAGGTGCTACCTCCTAGGAAACCTTTTTGATTGACTTAATTATTTGCTCTCCCCTCCTTAAGTTAGCTTATATTTACTTATCTGGGCAGCAAGGTGGTGCAGTGGATAGAGCAGTGGACTTGGAATCAGGAAGATTCATCTTCATAAGTTCAAAGTGACTTCAGGCACTTCCTACCTGTGTTACCCTGGGCAAGTCATTTAACACTGTTTGTCTCAGTTTCCTCGTCTATAAAATGAGCTGGAGAAAGAAATGGCAAACCACTCCAATATCTTTGCCAAGAAAACCCCAAATGGGGTAACAAAGAGTTGGACATGATTGAAACAATTCAAAATTTACTTATCTATTTACAAGTTCTGTTCCTTAGTAGAATATATGCATTTTGAAGGCAGGGACTCACACTTTTGTCTCTGTATTCCCAGTGCCTCAAACATAGTAGGTGCTTTACAAAAGCTTGTTGAATAGTATTAAGCATCTATCATGTCCAGTGTGCTGTTGTCCTGTGTCCTGACTAGCTGTCCTCCTGTCCCCTTCCCTAGGAGCGCCTAGCAGTGTTGGAAAACCAGGTGACTCAGATCCGGGCCCAGGCTGTCCAGGAATCAGAGCGACTGGCCCGAGAAAAAAATTCTTCCCTGCAGCTGCTGCAGAAGGTACTGTGGGGCTGGGGGTACCAGGGGACCAGGGATTGGGAAGTGGGAGGAGTTAGGAAGTAAGGGGACTGAGTTGGGATGAACTACAAGGAGCCTTATCAAGACGTCTCTCCCTATTCTATCCTGGCTACCCTGGACTCTAGGAGAAGGAGAAATTAGCAGCACTGGAGAGAAGATACCATTCCCTCACGGGGGGGAGGCCTTTCCCTAAGACAACATCAGCACTCAAAGAGGTAACTGAGTTCTGGGGCTGGAGAGGGTATGGGAAGCTGCAGAGCCAAAGAGATCACCCTGAGGACTGTCCTCATACTTTCACCTCTACTGTCTAAATGTGGATTGGAGAGTGGCTGTGTATGTGTCTGGGGGAGTGGGTGCAAGCCTCCGACTTGGTTCTATATTGAACCCAATGTTTGGGAGTAGGGAATTTAGGATTTGGGCTCCCAACTGCTGCATTTCAGTTGCCTTTCTTATTCTGGGGGAACCCATTGCAATGTCCTGATATGCAGGCTACCCCAGTGGGTGACATTGCTAAGGAACCCTAAAGCTCTAGAATATCAAGGTGTTGAATTGAAGATGAGATTTTTGCCTCCAGAGGCAGCTAAGAGACTTGGGATAGGGGGTGGCTGATGTGAGGTATCATAAAGCTGGGTGCCCAGGTACTGAAGGAAATACAGCCACCCTTCCTCGAGCACTGGACTTAAGGCATGTTTTTTATTTATTTTGATTTTAAAAACTCTTATTAATATCTTTTGGTTTTGCATCATTGATAGTTCCTTATGTATAGAACTATCTCCCATAACAAACAGTGAAAAGGGGGAAGACTCTGCAACGTTAACCAACATCTACAAAAAGTCTGACATTATATGTCGTGTTTGACGTCCATTGACTCCCCCTCTGTATAGCAGGGGGAGGTAAGGACAAGTTTTAAAATCTAGAGCCAGGCTGGCATCTCCCAAGTAGGCACTGGGGCCTTTTCAAAAAAACTGTTATACATGTTTGTGTTTCTATAGTGTTTTAAGGTTTGCAAAGGTCCCGGGGACCCTGCTAGGGTAGGGAGTTCAGCTCTTATTAACTCCATTTTAGTGACAAGAAACCTGAGGCTTGGGAAGCTTAAACAGCTTTGCCCTGTGTAACACAGCTAGTCTGGCTAAAGTCCCCACAGGTCTTCCAAATCTGAGCACAGTTTTCTCCCAGCTCTATCTGACTGCCGCAGGGCACCTGGCATGAAATACGGGCTTATGTCCATGTGCCAGGAATGGAACCCGCCTCTAGTACTGGTCTAGCCCTGGGATTCACATACATCTATCTCTCTGTCATCTCTCTACCTGTCTCCTCCCTTTACACTATCATAGCCCCTCCCCTAGCTTCTTCCTTCCCCACACGTAGTGTGCATTGGGCCTGGGGTTGGTGACTGAATTAAAAGTAAGAATGTGAGCACCCCGTACTCACCACGACCCCTCTCTGTAGGATGAACTGCATATCTCTGAGTCCTCAGAATTGGGGCTGGAGACTGAGGCTCTAGGCTCCTTGCCCAGGCCCACCCTGCCCAGGGCCGCTGCCGGCCCCCTAACCCCACCTGCCTCCACCCAGCTCTGCCCCAAGACACAAGAGGTAATCACTGCTAACTGCATGCCTGCTGCGTGTGCCTGCTTGGCCCCCATTCCTGCAGCTCAGCCCGGAGAAAGAAAAACACAGTGGTGTTGGTGGCAAACACAAGACGATGGCTTTGGCTCCAGAATTTGGAACTCTGTGTGTGTGTGTATGTGTGTGTGTGTGAGAGAGAGAAAGAGAGAGAGAGAGAGAGAGAGAGAGAGAGAGAGAGAGAGAGAGAGAGAGAGAGAGAGAGAGATTCTTTTCTAACATAATGTGTTTGGTTGACCTGTGCCAAACCAACATGCCAAATTTTGTTTGTTTGCTCATATTTTGTATTTCATTCATATCATATCTTAAGCAAAAAAAAATTCTCCCAGTTCTTCCCCTTCCCTTGTGATGTGTATGGCCTGGTCCTGCCTGGAGATGGTTGGTTGCTCTGTCACTGTTCAGGGCACCAAGCATCTAGGTACCGTGCCATCTTTTCTGCCAGGATCCTTCCCTGATACCTGCTTGTGGTCTCTTCCTGGGAGCCCTCTTATCTTCCTGATGGTGCCTCTTGCCTTTACCTCCTCCTTTCCCCCATCTTCTCTATGGTAGATGGGAGTCCAAGATGGCACTCAGTGGTGTTTATGCTAGTTTGCTGAGGCTGCATGTGTTCCTGATGTTGTGGGTACCCACTATTTTTCAGGCATGTGAACCGTGGAGACCTTGAAAATGGGCACTGAGTGGTATGACTATAAGTATTAACCTGGGACAAACCCAATGCCCAGTCTGGAGGGCTGTGGTTGTCTATAGCCAGAGGAGTTAGAAACCAAGGTGGCAAAGCTTGGTGACATGAGGACTGGGTATCTTTGGCTATAAGGTCTGGGTGTCGCCAGGCTATGGAGACAGAAGCTGCTCTTAGGAAGGTGCCAGGGTTCCCATCCCATGGTGAATCTTGTTGGGGAAGACTAACCAGTTTCCTTCCCTCTTGCCCCAACTCTGGCTTTGGTTTTGCCTGCCCAGCATGGACTGTTGGTCCTTTGACTTGGCTTGAAGTGTTGGGTGCCTGGTGCCAGGGTAGTGTGCTGCTAATCTCTTCTCCCTCCTCCTCCTTGTTCTTGCCATGTGGTCTAGGAATATGTGAGTCTGGCAGATGTTCTCCAGCTCTGCGCCCGCTTGGACCCCAGTGCTTCTGCTCCTCCCCCCCATGCTCTCACTCTTTCCCTGCCTGCCAATGAGGTACCCACCGCTAAACATGCCCACTGATGTTCATTGTGTGCCTAGTGGACGCCCCATCCTAGGCCTCTCTGGATCTCACGCCCAAGGAGACATCAGCAGTGATTAAGGAAACTACTTCCCAAAGGGGGCGTGACCCTGTGCTCCAAAAGGGGAGGGGCATGGGTGGCTTGGCATGGGATTAGTATGGGGTGGGTTGGAAATAGCTATTTTCTTTTTTTTCAGGGCATCTCAATGCCTGTTCAGCAATTAATGGCATATGGAAGGTCCTAGACCTCCTACTGACATTGTGAGAATACCAAGGGCATGGGAAACCCCAGCTCACTGGGTGCCCTGGATGCCATAGGAATTCCCAGCCGGCAGGCCAACTCCTCGTGTTTGGCCCTCCATCTTCTTTCCTTTCCCTTGCCAACCTGCTAGGGGGCTTCTCTTGGGCATTGCCTTTCTGCTAACTTCTCGCTTTCCCTCCATGCCTTGTGCCCCCAAGTATGTGACGCTTGAGCAGCTAAAGGAAATGTGGGGCAGTGACCAAACAGGCACTGTGCCCGCGTCCCCAGCCCCCACACTCGGCCCTCCCCTCCCAGGCTCCGCCTTCCGAGCTGTGCCTCAAGTCACCTGCCTTCCCACCATGCCGCCATCCTCCTCCTCTTCTACTTCTTCCTCCGTCTTGCCCGAGGTTTGTGGTTCCTGTATTGTTGCTTTCCCCATCTCCTCCCCTCCCCATACAATTGTCCATGGGCGTGTCCATGTGTGTGTGTGTGTGTGCCAGTACTGCAATGTGGCTGTTGGGACTGCCACGTCAGAAGCTCTGGTCCTGCCTACCCTGGCTTGCACGCCTACTGGATTAGCAGGCAGTGCCCAGAGCACGTGGGGTCTGACTGGTGGGTGTCATCTTTGGCATACGGGTATTTCTGTGGCAATGGGGGTTCTGTTCCCAAGGCCTCTGCTTCTCTTTACTCTCCATATCTTCACCGTGATGGCTTTCTCACTGTGTTTCTCTTTATATTCCTTCACTTCCCACCCCCCTTCTCTTTCTTCACTTTCATCTTTCTACTTCCTTCTTCCTGATCCCTCACCCTTCTCTCTTCCCCTTCTTTCCTCTCCATTTTTTCCTTCCCCTTCTTTGTTCTCCTTTCCGCCTTTTCTCCTCTCCTTCCCTTCTTTTCCCCTCTTTTTTCCCCTGCTTATTCTCCTTTTACTCCTCCCTCCTCTGTTTTTTTCCTTCCTTGCCCTCTTCCCTTCTACTCCTCTTCCCTCCTTCTGCCTCCCTCTTTTTTTCTCTCTCCTCCCCCTTCTTCCTCTCTTTCCCCTTTTTCTCCAGATGGAGAAGCTGTTACTTCCTGCCCTAGACTTAGAGCAGTGGTACCAGGAGCTCATGGCAGGGATCGGGGATGGCCCGTCTGCCTCCCCCTGTTCCTCCCCTCCACCTCTGCCCGCCAAAGCTTCCCGACAGCTGCAGGTAACACCTCTCCTCCCCCCACAATTCAATCCCAATGCCAGCTCTGTTCCTTTCTGCTCTCTTATTCCTGGTGACTCTCACCTAGGACTAAATTGAGCATCCTTTGCTGAGAAGAATGGAGGTGGAGCATGGGAATGGGGCTCCAGGGACCATGGAGCTCTTCTTCCTCTGGGGAGGGGGTTGTCCCTCAGTCAAAAGCCAGGATGAAATGGCTCCAAGGAGTGAAAGGTCCCAAGGGAAGTGTCAAATTGGCATCTCCTCTAAGGGACTGGAACCAGGGTGGGAAGGAGGATGTCGATGTAGATCAGTTAGTCAGTAGGTATTTATTGATTGTTCATTGTATTCCCAGCATCATGCTTTCTATGTGTGGCAAATTCTACTCTGGCACTTCCCTCTGAGCCCTAAACTCCAAATACTAGATGATTCTCACTTGTATCTATGGTTGGGGATGGGGGTGGGGAGAATTTGCCTAGCTAGCTTAGCTCTGAGTATGAAGTTATATCCTCTAGGACTGGTGTTTCCTGGATCAAATTTGCCACGTCTTATTATCGTATGATGTCCAAGGGAGAGGCAGCACACAGGAGGCCAAGATAATCAATTATTAAATTAACAGATTAATCAATAAACTAATGATTAAATTAATAAATTTGTTGAGCTCTTCTATATGCCTGGCACTGTCTAATAGATGACTAAAAAAGACAAAATCAAAACAGTCCCTACCCTCAAAGAGCTTACATTCAGCTTACACTGGGGAGACAAGATGTGTACGTCTAGAAGACAGACAGCCATTACACATAAAATGGTGTGGAGTCCTTGAAAATTGAGATGAACTAAGTCCTGAGGAAAACCATAGAGGGCATAGCTTTGGGCAAAGGAGAAACTGCCTATAAGGTTCCTATAATTTGAGGAGTATTGAAATGACCTCTGCTCCTTAGTCTGCTCATCCACCAGCCTTCTACCAATTGCTTCAATGGTCCCTGCAAGGCCGCCAATGAAGAGTCATTCCTTTGGGTTCAGAGAGGTCAAGGAGGATGAAGACTGAGTTTAAATGGCCATCAGATTTTGCACCTGAGTTCAGTAAAGTGACAGGACGGATGACAGGGAACGTGGTGATTGTAAATGACATTAGGATTTTGGCAGGAAAGGGGAAGAAAAATAGGATGGTAGCTGAAGGGGATAACAGGATGAAGTGATGATTTTTGAAGGATGGTAATGACCTAGGCATTTTAGAGGCGATAGGGAAGAAGCTGGTGGAGATGGAGAGACTGAAAATTATGTGGGGAGAGTAGCTCCTAGAGAAGATAGGGAGGGGATGAGATTGAGGGTGCAAGTGATAGGGTTAGCCTTGGCTACGAGAAGAGCCATTCTAGCGTCTAGAGCAAAGGAGGTGAGGACAGGTGGAAGTGTAAGGGGGATTTGAGGTGTGGAATGGGAGAAATGAGGGAGTTCTTGGTAGATAGCATTAGTTTTCTGATTGAAAGTTGAAGTCATCTGCTGACAGATGGGCGTGGGGTCGCATTGGAGACTTAAAAAGGTTTGGAATAGATTCTGTGGATTGTTTCATCCCTGTGAGTTATAAAATGGAAACACAGAATTTGTGATATGAGGTGATAAGGGGCATGGGTCTAGCTCAGGGGTGAGGAATCTGCAGACTTACGGCCACATGTGACCTTAACAAGGATTGTTCTGTAAAATTTAGATTCAGTCAAAAGGCTGCGCTTGAGGATTTAGAAGGCCACATATGGCCTTAAGGTTGCAGGTTCCCCTGCTCGTGGTCTAGCTCATACCTGGACAGAAACCACTGCTGTAATATCTCCAACAGAGGCATCCAGCCTCTGCTTAAAGATATCTAATGACCAGGAGCTTATTACCTCCCCAAAACAGTTCATTCCCCTTGTGGGTATCTCTGAGAGGTCTGAACTTGTCTGTTCAGCTTCTACCTCCTAATTCTGCCATATTGGGGACAAGAAGAAAACAGTCTCATTCCTCTTGGAACTTTGTGAGCCATTAATAACTTGGCATGAATTAGTTCATCGGGTTTTTTCTAAGACCCTAACCAGAGCAGGTTTGGACAGGGATCAGGACTAGAAGTGGGGCTCATATCAGGAGAGACTGCTCAGGGTAGGCAGACCTCAGTGGGGAGGTGAGGGTTAAAGTTGGGAGGTGGTCTGAGGATCCTGGGCCCTCTGCAGGGTGTAGAGAGGTGCTGTCAAAGAAGCCAAATAGGAAATGATGAGGAAGACAAACTTCACCTGTTCTGGAGCTGTTAGGGACTGGCCCACCGTGGCTCTATTGGCTGGTACCAGGTGAGGCCAGCCCCTCTGGGGTCAGAATCACCTTGAACGATGGTGGTTGGTTTGGGGGGGGGCCTCCAGTTGTACTGAGTGAGCTCTGTTCATCTTTCTTAGGTTTACCGCTCCAAGATGGAGAGTGAGGCTGGCAGCCCCCTGCCTCGTACCCGCAGTGGGCCCATCCCCTCCTCCTCTGGGTCTTCATCTTCTTCCTCTCAGCTCAGTGTTGCTACCCTGGGCCGAAGCCCCTCTCCTAAGGTCTGGGACTGGGGGACATGGGGTTAGTGAGGGAAGGTAAAAGTAAAGAGGGGCCTGCATTGGAGAGGGTGTACCTGCATGCATGGGTGTGTTTGTGTGTGAGTGTCACTGGTCTGTATTCACATTGAGGATGGCGGTGGGTGCAATCAGAATCATTAGAAGAGTTCCCTGGGAAAGGTAGAAGATGTATGAGAGGCTGAGGTTTTGGGAAGGGGTTCCAGACCCCCCTACCAAGACCCTGATGTGCATAACTTCCCCCACAGAGTGCCCTCCTTACCCAGAATGGCACAGGGAGCCTGCCCCGTAACCTAGCGGCCACACTGCAGGACATTGAGACCAAGAGGCAGCTGGCCCTACAGCAGAAGGGTGAGTGCTGCCCAGCTTCGTCCTCCCACCCCCATGCACTCAACGTGCTCCTTCAGGAGGATGCTTTTATTTGAATTAGAACCCTGGCCAATAGCAGGGGGGGATTTAGGATATATGTGTGCATGCACGCATACATGTATATGTATGTGTGTACATCTACACACATACATATACATATACACATATATACACACATTTGTATGTGTGTGGACTTCTGACAAAGATTGTAGGCCAGTGCGAGCATTGCCTTACACATAGTAGGTATTTAATAACTAAACTGAACTGACTAGGGTTGTAGCCCTTTCCCTATAAGCTCCAGTAAGTAGGAGAGACCCCCATGAACCTAACTAACTAATATAGTTAGTTAGCTGCAACAGTTTGGGGAGCCCTCGGGGATGGCATCCTGGATTCTTTACTTTGGGGACCCAGGAATCCCTGTGTTCTGTGTGCCCTCCCTTCCTTGTCTCCCGTGTCCCACGTTTTGGAGTCTACGAATGTTTTGAAAGCCCACGTCTGTGCCTTTCTCTCCTCTTGTCCCCTCTGTGTCTCCTCCTTTCTGCCACTCCCATCCTCTCTCCGGCTGCCCCCGCACCAGGCCAGTCTCTTCCTGCAGAGCCCCTGCCTCTCGACGACACAGCAGGTAGAGCGGTGGGCACTAGGGGCGTTGCTTCTGGTCCAGCCATCCTTCCCTTCCCCCATGGCAGCTGCATGACAGCAGGTCTTCCTCCCTGTCGAGGCTCCATGCCAGGGCCCTTGGCTTCTGGGGCGGATGGCTCTCATGCTAAGCTGCTTTGGGTATTTAGGGCCCTGGTCATAGAGGGTAGAGGGAGTAGCTTTCACCCTGAATTCCTGGGAGGCATTGTGCCTCTCTCTTCAAGTCTGACCTCTGTGTCTGTCCCCTGTCAATTCCCCCTTTCCTTCCTCTTCCACCCTGGCTGCTGCAGCACCTCCTGAGCAAGGCCTGCCTGGCAAAGCCGGGAGCCTGCCTGTGACTGGCACTGCTTTTCCCACCGCCTGCCCCCGAGGGGGTCTGATGCATGTGCTCTGCCCAGCCTCCCTTGCTCCTGGCTGCAAGATGGAAGAGGCTGGCCAACTGTTGACCACTGGGAGGGTCCGCGGGCTGGACATTGATCCATGTGGAGGCAAGATGCGGGCAGGGAGGTTGGGGGAGAGAGAGCAATCCCAAGCTGATTGTGGCTGGGCGAGCTGGAGGCACTGAGCTGCTGGGTATCTGGAGCACCCTGGGGGAAACTGCTGGAGCCAGCTGCTGCCAGCGTTGAGCTCTGTCCCCAGGAGGCCCTCTCCATTGATCCCACTGCATTTGTCCCGGGAGCTGACAGTATGCTCCCATCTGGGCACTGTGCCCACCATGACATCCTCTCCCCCATGCAGGGCAGCAGGTGATCGAGGAGCAAAGGCGACGGCTGGCTGAGCTCAAGCAGAAAGCGGCGGTGGAGGCCCAGTGCCAGTGGGAGGCCTTGCATGGGGCAGCCCTCTACCCCGCAGCCCCCTCAGGCTACCCCCCTCTCATGCACCACTCTATCCTGCACCACCTGCCGGCCGGTCGGGATCGGGCAGAGGAGGGGGAGCATGCCTATGACACATTGAGCCTGGAGAGTTCAGACAGTATGGAAACCAGCATCTCCACAGGGGGCAACTCAGCCTGCTCGCCTGACAACATGTCCAGGTAACTCCTGCCTGGGTGCTGCCCCCAGTGCTCTGCCCCCGCTACCCTGTGTCTCCTTGCTCACGAGGATGGCCCGGGCCCCTGAGCCACTCCCTCGTGTGCCTACCTACCTCTCCTTTCCCCCACCCTCAGTGCCAGTGGAATGGACATGGGGAAGATTGAGGAGATGGAGAAGATGCTGAAGGAAGCCCATGCTGAGAAGAGTCGACTTATAGAATCTAGGGTGAGTCTGGAGGTGGGGGGAAGGGGACTGCATTGGTAGTGAGTGGGCAAGAGAATCGAATAATTGCTGGGCCTGGAGTCAGGAAATCCTGAATTCAAATCCTGCCTCAGATGCTTATTAGCTGTGTGACCCTGGGCAAGTCACTTAACCTCAGTTTGTCTCAGTTTCCTCATCTGTAAAATGGGCATCACAATAGTACCTACCTACCAGGGTCATTGTGAGGATCAGACGAGATAAGATTCGTAAAGTGCTTGACATAGTGCCTGACACAGCAGGTGCTTAATAAATGCTTGTTACCTCCCTTCCTGTTCCCTCTATATTCCTGCTTCTTGAATGAAACTGGCAAGTGACTGGCCATCATTTACAGAACCCCTACTCTGTATATGGAAAAGAAGGCAAAACCTTCCTCCCTGCTTTGGAGAAGTGGGGGATTATGGGCAAAGAATACTACATACACCATAAAAAGTGATTGATGTATGCTTTTTTCTTTTTTTAATAAAAAATTTTATTAATTTATTTTGATTTATCAACAATCACTTCCACATGCTTTGAGTTGAAAATTTTTCTCCCCCCTTCTTCCCCCCCACCCTCCCCAAGACATCGCACAGTCTGATATAGGCTTTACATTTACATACCCATTAAACATATTTTCACATTATGTAAGTAAAAATTAAAACCAACAGGAGGAACCATCCGAAAGATGAAACAAAACTCAACAGAAGGTAAAAATAAGTGATAGCGATTCAACTTCCATAGTTCTTTCTTTGGATGTGGACAGCATTTTCCAACCCGAGGCCTCTGGAGATGTCTTAGATCCTTGTAATGATGAGAAGGGTTCAGTTTAACAATATTAGTCATTGCATAACATTTGCCAACTGTTTTTTCTCTTTGATCTTTGCTAGAAGGGAAGCCTCTCTGAGAAGGGGAGGAGGGAAGGCTATATTCAGAAATGAAGATGATAGAACAACAAAGCTTAAATAAGGTTAAATATAAGATTCGTAAGATTAAAAATAATAAATAAAATAAGATGAAAAAGAAGAAAAAGACTGTCAAGACTACAGAGAGAAATAGGCCAAGAGCCCCCACTTCCACTCCTGGAGCTTACATCTATTAGACAGAATTCTTGCACCCAGGGCAAACTCATTTGAAGGAGGAGCGTGGAAGGTCTGAATTCAGGTGCAGGTGTGTTGGGAAAGGGTCTGCCACCCTTTACAATCTCGTCCCTCTTTTCTGAGTTTGAGGGAAGGGTTCCAAGAGAGGGACAGAATGATGAGGAAACCCTAGGAGTGGTGGGACCAGCCCAGACCAAGGGTGAGGTGGGGGACAGCGATCTCCAGAGGAAGCACGCCTGACCCTGGGGAAAAAATGTGGCCTTCTGCTTTCCCCACCCCTGATGTCTGCATCCTGAGGCCATCTTGGTTGGCTTATGTTAATGATTACTCTGGTCACATTTCCATTTTGCAATTTTGCAAAATATTTTTCTCATGAGTCCTATCAGGTACAAGTGATTATTATCCCCATTTTATGGAGGAGGAAACCAAAACTGAGGGAGGTGAAGTGATTTGTACGGGGTTACAGAACAAATAAGTAGTGGTGCCAGGACTTGAACGGGGTCTTCTGTAGTGATGTCTCCTAAAAGAATCATACTGTATTGAGAGAAAGGATACTTACACTGGTTTGTCAGGAAGGTTGTGATACCCCCCACCCAAGTCACCTGAGAGGAGTGGTGATGAGTAGCTCTGGGACCTCACCCTCCTCCCTTCTCACTGAGGTCACAGGAACGGGAGATGGAACTGCGGCGGCAGGCGCTGGAGGAGGAGCGCAGGAGACGAGAGCAGGTGGAGAGACGGCTGCAGAGCGAGAGTGCCCGGAGGCAGCAGCTGGTGGAGAAGGAGGTCAAGATGCGGGAGAAGCACTTCTCCCAGGTGTGTGGGCCGTGTGGGCAGGGGAGCTTTCCCAGAGAGGTAGGACCAGGGACGTCTCAGTGGTGAGCCAGAGAGGAATCCTGCACGTGGGTACATGTGTGTGTGTGTACACAAACATCTATGTGCACACACATGCAATCACACATTAATACATGGTGCATGCATACACACGTGTCTGTGTATACATGCATGTGAATATTGTGGGTGTGCATATATACACACAATTATATGATATGTGCATGTGTACATATATGTAGATAAACGTCCATAACTTTATGTGAGGGATGAGAACTGAACTTGTGATTTCATAGGAATAGTAACTCCCAGACTACATTAACCACTGCAAGTCAGTACCTGTTCTACACTTTCCAGTCTTGGAGAGAGTTCCCTACAGGGCTGAGAAATCAAATGACTTGATAAGGGTCACACAGCCCTGACGTGTCAGAAGTAGATTTGAACCCAGTTCTTCCTAGATTCCAGGCCACTTCTCTAGCCATTGTCCCTTGCCACCTCTTCACATTTGTGTGTATCAGACGCTACAATGTGCTTTTGTTTAGGAGAAATTGCCCATCAGGTTTTCCACATCTCACCAGTGGTATTTGGTGTCCCTTGGGGAAATAAGGAAGGCCTTGAGTTGCTTCCCCAACCTCCTGGGAGGGGGCGTCTGCCAAAATCAGGCTGGAGATAGGAGTCCCAGGGCCCCCACTTTAAAACTCAGGTACAGTATAGTCTGACCAGAGCCAGAAGACTATGATTAGTTCTGGGTACCATATTCTCTTTTTCCTTTTTTTTTTGTTTTGTTTTTAGGCAATTGGGATTAAGTGACTTGCCCAGGGTCACACAGCTAGTAAGTGTCAAGTGCTTGGTCTGAGGCCAGATTTGAACTCAGGTCCTCCTGACTTCAGGGGCCGGTGCTCTATCCACTGTGCCACCTAGCTGCCCCTCTGGGTACCATATTTCTCAAAGGGCCTCTGACGAGCTGGAGCCCATCCAGAACCATGTCCTGTGAGATTCTGTTAAAGAAACTGGGGGAGGGGACAGCTAGGTGGCGCAGTGGATAGAGCACCAGCCCTGAAGTCAGGAGGACCTGAGTTCAAATCCAGCCTCAGACCAAACACTTGACATTTACTAGCTGTGTGACCTTGGGCAAGTCGCTTAACCCCAATTGCCTAAAAAAAAAAAAAGAAACTGGGGGTAGGGGGCATCTAGATGGCACAGAGAATCAAGCTCTGACCTTGGAGTCAAGGGGACCTGAGTTCAAATCCAGCCTCAGATACTTACTAACTTTGTGACCCTAAACAAGTCCTTTAACCCTGATTGCCTCCAAAAAAAAAAAATAAAGCAATAAAGAAACTGGAGGTATTCAGCCTGAAGAAGAGAGGACTGGGAAGATGTGTGATAACTAGCCTTTTCCATGTATTTGAAAACCCGTCATATGGAAGAGGGATTAGATTTGTTCTGTGTGGCTCCAGAGGGGAGAACAAGGAGTAAGAGGGGTATGGTAGATAGAGAGCTGGCCCTAGAGGCAGAAGATCTGTGTTCGAGATCTGCCTGTGACATACACTGGCAAATCACTTCATTCTTTAGTGTTCTAGGCAAGGCCCTAAGTCTGTAAGTTGCAGAGAAAATACTGATCTACACTGACGAGGGGAAGCTCCCAGCATTGATGAAGTCACAGTTGCAGTCATTCATAGAGGAAAAAAAGAGCTTCCTAACAATCGAGAATTATTTAGGTAATGAGTTCCCTTTTGCTGGAAGTATTCAGACGAAGTATAGGTGGTCATCTTTTAGGGAGGGCATAGTGGAAATTTCATTAGTGGTGCAGGACATTGAGTCAGATAACCACTAAGCTTTCTTCCAAGTTTGAGATTCTTCCTTTCTTTGATTATCTTGAGGACTTTAGCCTAGTTAAATTTTCCTAGTTAAATTGTCAAATTTGAAGACTAACCAGAAAATCCTGTTTGTTTTAGAACTTAGTGTTGAAAGTCTTTCTGAAGTGTGTATCTGCTTTTCCTGCCTTAGTAGAGTGTGCCAAATGGAGGGTCCTCAAGGGCTTTGTTCTGAATGTCAGTGATGCCTGTGATCTAGCTGTTGACCGTGTAGGAGATAGTGATGAATCACTGCTGACTTCAGGACAAATCCTAGGAATTGCTGGTTTTTGTAAAATGGAAGATCCTGATCTCAGCTAATTTGTTGTTATCATTTGCATCTCTCCTAAGAGCAGATTATTAAAAAAAGAAAAAGTCTAACCAGAGATATGAATCTTGGAATGTTAGCGCTGGAAAGGACCTTGTAGATTATCTAGCCCACGACATTTATTGCACAGATGAGGAAACAGAAGTTAAGTGGTTATCTGGGTTCTGTTAATCAAGGTTTTTGTGTGCTACTTATAGTGAGGAACATCTTAGAGTAGATAAGTACAGTGATCACGTTAGAAAAACTATGGGTTTCTGTATTCAGCCTATTGTTCCAAAGTAGTTTATAACTCTTCTCCTTTTATTCTTCCCTTTACCTATAGGCATTAGGGAAGGAGGAAAGAAGGGGGGGGGTTGTCTTCATCACAAGTGGGGAAGTGAAGGCCCAGAGAGGGTCAGTAGTTTGCCCAAGGTCACATAGAGAGTCAGGGATGGAGCCAGGACAAAAATCCAAATATCCTTAATTCTCAACTGAAATGTGTGTGAAGGACAGAATGGTACTGTTGAGATGGAGTGGGCGAGGACCACGGAGGTTGCTTGAGAGTTTTGGCCTGTGAAGGAAGACGAGGCTCCCCGAGACAAGTCACAAGGAGGAGGGAGGAGATGTCCATGAGGTCCATCCACCCTTGCCCTCTTCTCCCATCCCATAGGCACGGCCACTAACCCGATACCTGCCCATCCGGAAGGAGGATTTTGACCTGAAGACGCACATTGAATCATCAGGCCATGGTGTGGACACCTGCTTGCACGTCGTGCTGAGCAGCAAGGTACGTGTGAGTACATGAGAGCCAGGGATAAGATTGGTGGGGCAGGGAGACTCCCTCCCCTGCCGTCTCAGATGCAGCTGGCAACTTCGAGGACAGTCACTTCCCCTCCCTTATCTGAGATGCCCAGAGATTTCTGGCCAAGCACCCTCGTGGGGTCAGGGGCAGTGTTGAGGGCTTGTTTAAGGCATGGGAACATAGAGGGAAAAACCACCTAGAGATGCTTTGATTTGAGTTGGAAGGTATTCAGTGCTCCTGGGGCCCTTGGGCGGCACCCGACAGAGAGCCGTCTGTCACACAGAGGATGCTGATGCATACTTCAGCGTCAAAGGTTGTTGTTATTCCTGTTTAGGCACATCTGGTTCTTTGTCACCCTGTTTGGGGTTTTCTTGGCAAAGATACTGGAGTGGTTTGCCGTTTCCTTCTCCAGCTCATTTTACAGATGAGAAAATTGAGGCAAACAGGGTGAAGTGACTTGCCCAAGGTCACACAGCTAATAAATGTCTGAGGCCAGATTTGAACTCAGGTCTTCCTGACCCCAGGCCCAGCACCGTACCCGCAAAGCCACCTGGCTACCCTTGGTGTCAAAGGACATGCATTCAAATCCTGATTGCTACTTCTACCTTAAGCAAGTCACTTAATGTGGGCCTCAACTGTAAAAAGAAAGGATTGAACTAGATGAAGGCTAACCTTACGATCCTCTCCCCAAAGACCTTACCCCATAAGGAAAGGAATGTGAGGATAAGATTTGGGTGTCCATCCCCTAACTGTTGATGGTCCCCGTCGGTGTTCCACCATTCTGATTCCCTCCCCTGCCCCCCAGCCCTGCTCCTGCTTGGCTCCTATAAAAAAAGGCAAGGAATCAGGGGGGTGTCTGCCGGCTTGAGATCTTCTCCTTATCTTGGTTTCTTACAAGGTCTGTCGGGGTTATCTGGTCAAGATGGGTGGCAAGATAAAGTCATGGAAGAAGCGCTGGTTTGTCTTTGACCGGCTCAAGCGTACCCTTTCCTACTATGCTGGTAAGTTAGCCCCTCTGCAGGCTGATGTCCATGGCGCTTCTCCTCCGACTCCACCCCTCAGCGAGCTGGGCAGATGTTATTAACAATAATAATGGTGCTAGTAGTAATAGCCATTAACATTTATATAGCACCTACTGTGTGACAGGCACTGTGCCAAGCGCTTTAAAACTATCAGCTCGTTTGCTCCTTATGGCAACTCTGGGAGGGAAGATGCTATTATTATCCCCATTTTACAGATGAGGAAATTGGGGCAAACAGAGCTGAATGACTAGCTGAGGATCACATAGCTAGTCAGTTTCTGAGGCTGGATTTATATCCAGGTCTTTCTGACTCGAAGCCCAGTGCTTTATCCACTGCATCACTCGCCTGCCCGGGTTGACCTGGGTTGGAATTGTATCTCAGATGTTTACTAGCTATGTGACCTTGGGCTAGTCAGTTTACCTTACTCAGCCTCAGTTTTGTGATCTGTAAAATGGAGTTAATAATACTTAATCTACCAACCTCAATAGGATTGTTGTGGGGGGAAAAATGTCAGTCTCCAAATAATAACCCCTTTTTTGAGTAGCCACATGACGTAATGGATGGAGAGCCAGCCTTGGAATTAGGATGAAGCCCGATTCAAATCCTGCTTCTGACATATGCCGGCTCTGTGATTCTGGCAAATCACTCGACCTTTTAACTCTCTAAGTTGCAGAATAAGGGCAGATCTGCACTGGTAGAGGGAGCTTCCTCACCAAGAAATCACAGGTCTGCTCCCCACCAAAACATTCGGGTCCTGTGTGTTTCCAAGAAGGGTAAAAGACTCCTGGGAACAGTAACTCCCAGAGGACGCAGTGTCCAACCTTGCTCAGGGGTCTGGTCACACTCTCTTGGAATCTTCAGGTTGGAACCTCCAGGCCTTCCCCAAGAGCTCCAGAAACATTGACACCCAGACTCTTGTTTTGCCTGACAAATTTTCACTTGAGAAGGCAGCATTAGCAAATGCATGCACAAGTCACAAAACTCTATAAAAAGTGGTATTTGACCAATTCTCAGTTATCTGCTTTATCTGTTTGGTGGATTATCTGCGTGTCAGATTTACAAATCCCAAGACTGGGTCCCTCTCACTTCTTTCCCCCTGAAGACTGTGTAGGGATCATTTCAATGATCATTCATGCTCCTTCTATCGTTCTTCCCACCCCCTCAACCCCCGCCCACTAAACCCTACAGCATGTTGGTGCAGGGGACAAGAACAGACGTTTATGTAGCTTTGACACTGGCAAAATTCTTTACAAACTGAAACTCCATGTGTTTCAGTAATTTGTCCATGATCTCTTTGGGAGCATCTGAGGTGAGATTGAACAGAGGTCTCTCCTAACTCCGAATCCAGGGTTCCTTCTACAATACTAGGGTGCCTTTGCAATACTAGTGGAGAAATGGTTATATACACATATCTCAATACAGCAGTGTCTCATTTATCTGGTAGTACTGGTGATGGAGGTGTTCTACATAAAACAAGCTTCCCAGTAATGAGCTTTTTTTCCTAAAATACATTTTCATTGATATCTTTTCATTTATATCCCCTACATTTCCCAACGTATCCCACCCCCACCCTTCTATCCATCCCTATAACAAAGAATAAAAAAGAGAAAAAGACAATTTGGCAAAACTAATCAAAACATCAAAAGAAGTGCAATATTATCAGCAGCATTCCCCCAGCTCTGCAAATAATGGCCAGAAATTCCTTCTCCTATCTTTTCTTTGGGGCCAAACTTGGTCATTATTTCACCACATTGAGCTTCAAGTGTCTCGCTGTTGAGGTAGCTAAAATTTTGCTCCATATACTCTGAAATTTGTTGATATGGTCATCTTTGGCTAGACACTTCTAAAAAGTATCATATACATACTTCTTACACAGAACACAGTCTAACCTTTTATTGGCCATTGGGTGGAGACTTGAGCCCAGGCCATCTGCTCTCAATTTCTAGTTTCTTTGTCTATAACATGAGAAAGTTGAACTAAAAGATCTTTCCAGGTTCCTCCCAGTTTTAAAACAGATTTTGATTACATAAAGGGTTTTTTTCCCAATGTTTTAACATTTTTATTTGAAGTTTTGAGTTCCAAATTCTATTCCTCCCTCCCCTTTCCACTCCTTGAGACGGTAAGCATTTTTTTAAACCTATATTTGGGCTTTTGATTGTGTTACTGGCATTCTGACCTTCAGATAAATGACACATTACTCTTTTCCTCTGCTTCCCCATTTAATTAAAAAAATTAAATTAAAAAATTAAAAATTAATTAACTTAAAAAACCTAGAACATTATGATTTAACCCCGTGGGTGCAGTGGAAAGAGCATGCAGTCTCAAGCTCTACATGTTCACTATGGTTCCACTACTTGTTTCCTGTATTACTATAGGCAAATCATTGAACTTCTCTGGTTTTCAATGTCCCCGTTTGTAAAATGGGGACTGATAACAGCTAACATCTATATATCGATTTAAGGCTTGAAAAACACTTTGCATAAATTATCTGATCTTGATCTTCACAACAGCTCTATAAGTTAGATGCTCTTATTAACCCCATTTTACAGATGAGGTAAACTGAGGCTGAGATCAGTAAAGTGATTTGCCCACAGTCACACAGCTAATAAATTTGTGAAGCAAGGTTTAGGCCCAGCTGTCCTAGGAGCCACTCTTAGTGTAGCACTCTAGCGACTCTGCCAGCTAAGCGCCTTCTTGTATTACCCACGTCATGGGTTTATTGAGGAAAGCATTTAATAATATGACACAGGAATATAATCTATTATTAATGGAGGTAATCTGGCCCAGCATTTGCCGGGCTTCTCATGGGTGCCAGATATTTCTGTTTGTGCCCAACTGTGCCCTCCCCCTTTCCCATGTCTCTAGGAGGGTGAGCCCAGAGATGGCAAGGTATAATGTTGGTGCATGTGGGAAGGGTGGAAATGATTCCTCCAAGCGGTCACTGAAGGGCTCCCGTGGGGAACAGGGACTAGGTTTGTCCTGTTTGATACACATGGGCAGAGCCAGAAGCAATGAGTGAAGGCTTCAGAAAGCAGAGTTAGGCTTTCTATATGAAAAAAAAAAAAGCAAACTTCTTAACAGTTATAGCCTTCTCCGAGTGGAATGGGCTTCCTTGGGAGGTAGTGAGTGCTTTCTCCCTGCCTTGGATATCACCAGGCAAAAGCTGAATAACCACTTTTTTGGCATGCTTTTGAGGAGCTGCTGCTATCTGTTGGCCTTTAGAATAATAGTAATACTTAACATTTATATTGTGCTTACAATGTGCCAGGCACCATGCTAAGTGCTTTACAATTATTATCTCATTTGATCCTCACAACAATTGTGGGGGGCGAGTAGTCGGTGGTATTATTATCTCCTTTTTACTGATGAGGAAACTGAGTCAGGCAGAAGACAAGTAACTTGCTCAGGGTTACACAGCTAGTTAGTGTTTTTAGGTCTGGCGAGCTATCTACTGCGCCACCTGGCTGTCACTGGGAGCTCTTCTACCTCTGAAATGCTGTGCCTGCCTCAACGCAGCGTGTACCTGTTGTCTTCGTGTTTCGCTCAGAGGCTATAGATGATTTATTTCTGAATACTGAAATTTTGTGTCTCAGTCCTGGTAGAGATGGCTCAGTGAAGGCAGGGGACAGGGGGAAGGGGGAAGGGGATATAGGAATGGGGTCAGAAGATAGGCAAGGATTGACCTCCCCATTTCACAGATGGGAAAATTGAGGCCCATAAAGATTGCTTCGAGGCAGGCCAGGATATCAATGGCAGAGCCATGGGACTCCCACCTCCCTGCACCTCCTAGGTCTTCATTTTCACTTGGGCACTATTCTTCAGCCCCTGTCTCTTCTCTTCACAGACAAACATGAAACTAAGCTTAAGGGTGTCATCTATTTCCAGGCCATTGAGGAAGTGTATTATGACCACCTTAGAAGTGCTGCCAAGGTGAGGGCAGGGGAGAAGGGAGGCCCTCTGAGAGCACTGGCCGGGGGGGGAAACTGAGGCCTCTGAGGTGGGAGGTGGAGCAGTATGAGGGGCTGGGCAAGTCTCAGGATGGGATCAGGAGTTCCAAGCTCTGACTTCTTACATCACTCCTGTTGACATCTCTTCCTTTCTTTCCCTCACACCTCCCCCTTCCCCAGAAGAGATTTTTCAACTTCAGCCTGGTGACTGAGGTACCCCCGCCTTCCAGCCCAAAGTCCTTTAATCAATGCTGTCTCTGCCTTCATCCTGACTGGGGCCCTGATTCCCCCTCCCAGAGCCCTGCTCCCTCAGCCTTGCAGTGAATGTCAAAGACAGAGGGGCAGCAGAGAGGTCAGCCAGCTGACGATGCCGCCCAGGCTAGCAGATGAGGCACTAGTGTTCTAGAATAATGCCTCATCTTGCTTTCTCTGTGAGTGACAGCTGTCTGTCTCTCACCCTGCCTGGTGTGGAGTTGGGGGTTTGGAGGAAGGGGATTGAGTATAGGTAGTTTCTTAAGAGGCCGAATTTGAGATGGTGGGCCAGAAGCCAACAGCTTGGCAAAGGAAGACAAATTGATTTGACCAGCCCTCTAGACTCTTTGGACAGAGGTCTGCAAGTAGAGAGGGGCAGGGCCATGCCTGAAATTTGGAGCCACCCATCTTCCTGAGAGTCAGAAGCACTCTTCCTAAGCTTGACCTTGATCCCCATGCTAACCCTGCCAAGCTCCCAGCTCTAAACACAACCCTTTGACTTTCTTGGGACCTGACCACTGGGATCCCAGCTGCCTTCATGTGTCTAACCTACAATTCTGCATTGTTTTTGAGTGAGGGGCCCGTGCTATGGGTGGACAGGGTTACTTGGCGCCGGCTTTTCTCTCTACTGGCCCCTCCTTCTTCCTCTCTCCTTTTCCTACAGAGCTAGCCTTCTCTGAAACTGCTCTGTCTCTGATTCTCAAAGCTTTCTCTTTGGTGGGGGAGGGCTGGAGGGGAAATTCCTAGATCTGTCCTGTTGAGGATGGCCCAGAAATAAGCTCTGAGGATGGTCGAGACAGAGCTCAGGAAGGGAGGGTTAAAAGGTGGCGCCAAGCCTGGCCCTGGGTCTGGCATCTGTCCCCAGTGGGAATTTCTGAACAGACAGGCTGCCAGGTGGGGTGGGGCAGGTGCCAGTCTTTGATTCCAGCCGTCTGGCCGTAAAACCCAAGTGCCTTCACAAAAGAAGGATCGTGGGGGGTTGACAGATGGCTTGGCAGCCAGTCAGGCACAGGTCTGCCACGGGGCTGGGGGCTTGTGCCTTGTCTCCCTCACACTCAACTGTCTGCCTGTCTTTTCTTCTACAGAGTCCCAATCCAGCCCTAACCTTCTGTGTCAAGACCCATGACCGGCTGTACTATATGGTAGCCCCTTCCCCTGAGGCTATGCGCATCTGGATGGATGTCATTGTCACTGGGGCTGAGGGCTACACCCAGTTCATGAACTGACCTGGAGGTGATGGGGCCGCCCCTGATGTTCCTCTCCACAGGGGAGGAGTCACACCCAGCCATCTGCCCCTCCCCTCCCCTCTCCCCACCGCTCCTGGGGGGCCGTCAGCTTCAGTGTTCCTAGGGAGCACCTTTCCTGAGGCTTGGAATATACTCTACCAGGATATTTCCTAGAAATGCACTGGGAGGGGAGAGCCTGATTTTGATGGTTTTTATAAGACACTTTGTTAACATCCAAGAAGCTTCTCACTCCTGCGAGATGCCAAGCTCTGGGCCTCCTGGGAGCTAGCCAGAAGGGAAAGCAGGGATGTGGGTCTTGGCACCTGGCATAGCCCCTCAGGAGCCCTCCAAAGACGTGATCAGGGCCGAGGGCTTCTGGGACACAGGAGGCTCTCTGCTCAGCTCGGGAGAAGGGCCCTTAAGTCTCCCTGGCCCCTTTTCTCTTTTGGAAAGGACACACTTAAGGTACCAGAATCTGCCAAAGATCCCCTCTTCATCTCAGCCCCCTTCCCAGGGGCCTTGAGGGCTGAGCACAGGCCACATCCTGGAGGAGGTAAAAGGGGGGAGCTCTAGTTCCCAAGCCCCTTGATCTCTCTCCTCCTTCCCCTCCCCCCAGTTTATTTTTTAAGATTTTGCTCGTGACAGAGGAAGTGGTACCATTACTGTGGCCACAACCCAATCTCCAGTGATCTAGAGCCATAGTTGTGTCCCCCTACCCCATCCCCATCATTGCTCTATCTTCATCCCCCGGTGGCTCTAGGTACCTCTTGTGGGCCCTACCCCCAAGTCTTCCCAAGGCTACTTGCTCAAGATTTCTTTACACAAAGGCCCTTGAACATCTTACACTGGGGAGAGGGGACCTGACCACCAGTCCCTTCCCCCCTACTCCATTCTCTTACCACCGGGCCCCAATGCACTAGCCCTACTTGGCCCTAGGTCTGGGCCCCTTCCCCCTCCATGTGTGCCTTGACTGGAGCCAGAGGTTGCCAGGGTCTGGGGGTATGGAGACCCAAAAAGGAGCCACAGGGTCTGGGTGGGTGATGGAGCATGTCCTGAGGCCTATCCTTGGCCCAGGAAGGGTTTCTTGAGATTGTTTTCCAGGGAGGAGAAGAGCTCACCCTCACTTCCAGGAAGAGAATAGTACTACCAAGGTGGAAAGAACCAGTGAGGGGAATGAAATGTGCACCCCCTGCCATTCATCCTACCCTCTCTTGGCCTCAGGAATGTGGCAGGGAAGACCAGGCTCCCACCCATGCTGGTTCCAGCCCTTTAGGCCTTAACACTAATCCCTCTTCTCCTGTCCAGACCTCCTTCCCTTCCTGCCTTTACTCCCCATTTGCCAGAGGCCTGAGTTGCCTGGGTCCAGGCTGGGGTTGATTGTTGGGTTTTTTTTTTCCAGTATTTGTAAGCAGTTCAGCAAAAACAATAAAGCATTGGAAATAATCAGCTTGATTTGGAGAGAGGGGAGAACAGTGACTATGGAGGTGATCCTCATGGAATACATTATGACCTTTCAGTGGATTCTCAGGCCCCTAAGTGACTTGGTTTACCATCCTATGCCTTGGACCAGTCTAGTCCAGGGCCTCACTAGCCCAACCCCTGGCCTTCAGAAATGGATAGTTAGGGGCAGCGAAGTTGCGCAGTGGATACAGCACCAGCCCTGGAGTCAGGAGAACCTGAGTTCAAAAGGGGCCTCAGACACATAACACTCACTAGCTGTGTGACTCTGAGCAAGTCACTTAATCCCAATGGCCTTACCAAAAAAAAGAAAAAAAGAAAAAAGAGAGAAAAGAAATGGATAGTTAGTGAAGGTGTTGAGGCCAGGATGACAATAAGAATTGATTTATGGGGTACAAAGACAAGTCTCTGCCCATGAAGAACTTGCATTCTATTGGGGGAGTCATATATACGTCCAATGAATATACCAACTCAGTGCAAGACATTCCCAGGCTGAGTCCTTCTGTCTCAGCAGAGTAAATCCAGAAGCAGGAGGGCCAAGAGTAGCCAGCTGGTGCTGGGCAGCATGGGTCCTGACCTAGAAGTCAGCAGGTTACCATATCGATCCAGGAACTGCAGGGCAACCCCATTGGTCCAGCCAAAGCCCTCCTGGGGTAGGGGAAGGCATAGCCAGTCAGGTGGAAGGCATGTTATCCTCTAAAGACTGTCCCCTGGGACAGGCCCCAACTCTATCGCACAGACCTCTCCTCTGTACCAACCACCCTGGGCACAGACACCATCTCCATCTTATAGCATCTCCCTCCACCCCATTCGCCTCCCCCAACCCCTGTTGTGGGTGGCTGGCATCATTACCTGCACTTCGTACTCCCCTCCACCACCAGGCTCTGCAACGTCAATGCTGATGTCGTACTAGAGGAGAGAATGAGGTTGGGATGATGAGCAGATGCCGCCCAAACGACCCCGCCTCTAGCACTAGAGCAAACTCTGCCAACCTGAGGCTTGTGATTAGACCTCTTTGGACTACTGATTCTTTTGTGGTGAGGTGGGAAGAGGCAACACAGTCATGGGTTCAAGGCAGCTGCCAGTCCTCAAACTCTTGGGACCATCCCTAGGTAACACTGGCATCTCAGGGTTAGGACCAGGCTGAGGACTGACAGTTCTAGGGAATGGCCACAGGAGGCCGCCATTATCCCCATGCCCCCTAGTAATGGAGCACCTTCCCACGCAATCATCCTGTAAGAGGAAAGACCCTCAATATGGGACCGAGGAAGACTTTATTACCTTCTCATACATGGCTTTGTTCTTCTGATAGAGAGCAAAGTTGGTCTGGATCCAGTTCTGGGCCAGCTGAAAGGCCACCTCCTGAGCCTGGGCTGAACCGGAATCTGCTAAACCTGTCCCCACAATCCCAGCAGGGTCTTCATTGGCTCCCAGAGCCCCTTGTCTCATCCCCAGGGCCAATGCAGGGGTGGGATGGGATGGGAAGGTTAAAATATAGGGTCTATCTTGGCACGGCTAAAAAAGTATGCTGGGGATAGGGGAAGAGGCAGCTTCCCAAAGGGCAGTGGGCCCTATGCCTATTGGTCTAGTGCATTGAGCCTATTCTGTCTTCACTTGACTTTCCTGGGATGAAGAAGGATCAGGTAATCAAAGCTCGCCTTTACAGAATACTTAAAGGTTTAGAAAGTACTTTATATACACTCTCCCATTTTATCCTCACTCCAGCCCTGTGAAGTAGGTGTTATTGTTATCCCCATTTTACAGAGGAGGAAACTGGAGCTTGGCAAGGATAAGTGATTCACCTAGGGTCTCACAGCTAGATGGTATCTGAGGCAAGATTTGAAACCAGGACTTCCTGACCCTAAATACAAAGCTCTAGCCACTATATCAGAATTAGAGCTGGAAGGAGTTATCTAGTGCAGCCCTCTCATTTCATAGATGAGGAAATGGAGGCATGGAAAAATTAAGTGATCAGAAGTAATTTAGGTATCAGCCCCAAGATGCTGTGCCTAGGGCACAGTTTGCCTTACAGAAAGCATCCAGTCTCCCACACCCCCCTGCCCACTAGGACCCAGGAGTCCCTCTCTCCCTCCCATCTGCCCACTATTTGAATGTCAATACCTTTGACAACCAGGTCTTGAAGAGGGGCCCAAGCATTAGGAAAGTCCCACTGCTGGCCACTTATCTGGAGGGAGGTTGGAATCCCATGCCTATAGGTAAATATCTTGTTGTCCTATGGGAACCAAAGATAACCATGAAAGGAATGTGAGAAGACCTGGGAACAGACTCCCAAAAATGGGGGCTGGAAGAAAACCTAGTTGGGGCCAAACATATTATCCCAATCCCAGAGCTTTTCAGGGTTGGCCTGCTAGGCTCAAAGTTGCCCTCTGGTGGATGTGGGGATCCCATCAGGGTGGGAGATACCAGGATAGAAGCTGCCATCTGCCCTCTAAGAATCCTAGGATTTAGAAATTGAAGGGTTCTAAAAGATCTCCTAACCCAACCCTATCATTTACACTGAGGCCTAGAAAGGGGAAGCCCAAACAGCAAGTCAGAGGCAGAGATCTTGGGGAAAGTTAGGCAAGGCACAACCTTGCTAGGCCTCAGTTTCCTCATCTGTCAAATGAAGGGGGATGGCCTAGATGGCCTTTAAGGTCTCTTTCAGCTCTAGATCTATGATCCGATAGTGTTTTGGGGTCTAGGAATCTGGCCTCCCTGTCTTCCACACCCCTCATCCTCACCTCTAGGTACTTTATATTCTTTCTGACTGTGTCAAGATCAGAGAAGCAACCTGCCCAGAGTGGACTGAGGTTGGAAGGATAGAATGCATGGTTTTGTTTCCTGGTCTCTATGTGGAAGTCAAACCAGCTGCCCAAGGTCTCATTCCACAGGAGAGCCTTCATGGCTGCCTTTCGCTGAGCCTGGGCCTCCAGGTAGTACTGGGCCATGGTCATATTACCTTTAAGGAAAGAGCAGGGTCAATCGAGAGTGGGGAAAGGGCCTGAGGACTTTGGAGTAGACAGAAGGATGCACACATCTCATTCAGAAAGATAGAAGAGCTTAGCCCCAGTGAGAAAGCGGGTCTTAACTTTAGGCAGTGCCCCCTCAATAAGGACATTCACTAGGGCTCCTTACCCAGCTTGGTGTGGAAGTTGGCCAGTAACTCCTCTGCCTGGCACAGGAAGGCATTGAGGTCAGCCGGAACTACCTGACTAGTCTTGATGTCAAGCAGATAGTTGCTGCCAACAAACCAGCGGGAAGAGAAATCCCAGCCTGCTTCAGCTCCAGCTTTCAGTTCTGTCCACAGGGATTCCCGGGCATCTGTGTGGGCAGAGGAGGGTAACTGAACCAGGCATAGAGAGGTCAGAATTCTGGATGTGACAGACACAGAGATGAGTCAGAGGGAAGGGGTACAAAGACAGCATGAACACAGAAGAGGTGTTGATGGGGCCACCAGTCAGGGCCAGACAGGCGAATACTTCACCCAAGGAAGAGCTACAGTCAGGTGGGTAAGAGACTTAGTCTGGGCTGTGTCTTTTCCATGTCCAATGCTGTTGTTCTTTACCTTCCGGTAGCAGCTCTGCCAATTCTTCATCTTTGCTGTAAGATTCTGGCCTGTGGGAAGAGAGAAGGGCAACCTGAAGGAAGGGATGGTGGGGGTCAGTGGGAGGAGAGGACGTCTTTGGTAGGAGGATCATTAACTAGTGGCCAAACAGGGAGGGTGCTGAGATTAGGAATGGTCCTGGCTCAGGGGTGTTGTGTGGTTCAAATAAGATAATGGATGCAAAGCACTTTGTAAACCTTGAAATGTTGTATAAATGATGGTTGTTATTATTATCATTATTAGCTTCCAGTCCAGTGATAACTTCTTTCCCTGAGCCTTCTACTGTACTCCTGCCTGTTGAGTTCAAGTAATGTTTATAGAGCAAAAAAGGGGTATGCTAGGTAAATGTTTAACAACCAGACTTCCAGGAGAAAAAATGTACACACAAACTTTTACATTTAATCTGCAATATTAACACTTTCTAAAATCTGGACAATCAAAAAACATAAGAAAACAAGCTCTGATTCATAGAATTGACAATTTCTGAGGTGTAAGTACTCATACTAAAAATTCAATTATTGCTTCTCACAAGCCAGTTAGAGCCGGCTCCATCACAGCCCTGTCCTGGGTCTTCCACTAACTCGTAATGGGACGTTGGACAAGGACTTAGGCTTTCAGTAGCCTGTCCAGAATAAGGGAAGTAACAGTCCTGCTCTGCTCTGCCTTGCTCAGCCTCCCCAACTGAAGTACTGTGTTTAATTCCGGGCACATTTTAGGAAAGACATTGACGACCTAGCCTGTATACAGAGAAGGGAGACCAGGCTGTCGAGGGGACTTGAGACCATGCTAGATGAACTCCTTAGTTGAAGGAACAGAGGTTATTTGGGCTGAATAAGAGAGAACCTGGAGGTAGGGGTAGAGGGAAAACATGGTATCTGTCTTCAAGTCTTTGAAGGGCTGACATGGAGAAGAGGGACAATATTTGCTCTCTTTGGCCCCATTGGGCGGAACTAGAAGCAATAGGTGGAAGCTGCCAGATAGATAGATGATAGGTAGATAGATAGAACAAGGGGAAATGCCCTAAATATTACAGTTGTCCTCAAATGTACAGCCCCTCTCAGACGAGGGGGGCTTCCCATAACAGACAGTCTTCCCACATAGACTGGATGGCCCCTTGTTTGGGTGGAGGTGGGGGTAGGTTTGTAGGGCTTCTTGCTAAATTATACTTGGGAGGAGACAAGGTCTCCAGGCTCACCCAACTCTGAGATGCCGTGACTCTCACCCTCCCTCAGGGGTCCTGAGAAGACCAGGCATCATCGGGTCCTCTCCAAGATGCCTGTGGAAGGGCTTTGGAAAAAAACAGTGATTATTAACATTAGAAAGAAGGAATCTTGCCTCACCTGGGCCCCCCATAGGGTACATGGTAGCGATTCAGGACATAGTGCTCCCC